CAAAGTTGGGAGCAGGGGAAGGAGAGAGGGTGGGGGGGGGGGGGCTGTCGGGAAAGGAAAAGTGGGAACTGCAGGGGACGGGGGAAATGAGATGCCTGTCCCTGCTCTGGGGACTGGGTGGGGGGGGGAGGGTGTCTAACTCAAAATGGGCAGCCTTTAAGCAGGGCCCTGCCTGTGAGTGTCCTGAGCTGCGAAACTGGGGCTTCCGGTTCCCGTTCCTCCAGACAGGGCTCATGGGTCAGGTACTGACCCCCCCCCCGAGCCCGTGGGGGTTTGTGCAAGGATAGTTCTGAGCCCCCCCCGAGCCCGTGGGGGTTTGTGCAAGGATAGTTCTGAGGGGGGGCTCTCGCCCCATTCCGGAGGTGGGCAGGAGGGAGTCCTCTGCTCCAGTTCCTTTCTTCCTCCGCAGGTCACCGAGTGGCGGACGTGCTCCGGGAAGGTCCCAATCGTGGCCAGGAGGGACCGGGCGGCCCTCGAGGAGAGGTGGCCGGCCGCAGAGGAAGCCCCGCGTCGCGAGCAGGCCGTTTCCCACGTGGGCCGAGGGAGGAGAGACATGCCGGTTCAGGGAGACTGGCCGTGCACCAGGACAGGGCGCCTGCCGAGGGGCCCCGGAGGCCGCGTGACGCGCAGGCCCCGGTGGAGGGCTTGCGGACGGGAGCTCAGCTCCCCGGTGGTGGACGCCGGGCTCTCCGCCCCGGCCAGCAGCCTGCCTCAGGAGGCTCCCCGCACCGCGAGCCCCGCCCGGCCCAGAGGATCGGGTTGGCGTTCCTGGAGTCCCTCCTCCAGAAGGACCCTTCGGAAGTGGCCATCACGCTGGCCTCCAGCCCCGGCCTGAGGGAGGTGCTCGCTCAAGGGGCGATGCGGCCCAGCCTCCTGCAAGCGCTCTGCCAGGCCCTCCGCAGGGCCTGCAGCTCCCGGATCGACAGGCGCAGCATCCAGCAGCTGATGGGCATGGTGAAGGACTCCAACTTCCTCAAGGTCTGCCTGCCTCGGTACGTGGCGGACATGCTGACGGAGGCCACCCCTGCTGCGCGGCATCAGTACCCGCAGCACCTCGACAACATCGTGGTGCTGGTCCAGGAAATGGCCAGCGTGTTCCCCGCCAGCTCCGTGCAGAACGTCTCCATGCTGATGTCGGCCGTGCCGGCGGCCGTGAACGCCCTGAGGGCCTCCGGAGTGGACTTTGCCGAGGAGGCGGAGAGCCGCCTGGAGAAAGTCCAGGCCTTCGTCCGTCACCTGCAGGAGAAGAGGCGGGAGGGCACCTTGAAGGTGGACAGCCACACCCTCGTGCACCCCCTGGCTCCCGACGAGGGGGCCGCCTTCCGCGCCCTGCCCATCTACCCCACCTACGAGGAGGTTCACGGGGAGGAGAAGCCCTTCCTGCGCCCCAACATCATCTCCCAGAAGTACGAGAGCCCGGCCGTCTACCTGGACACCCAGTTCCGGCTGCTGCGGGAGGACTTTGTCCGGCCCCTGAGGGAAGGGATCCTCCAGCTCCTCCAGAGCTTTGAGGACAGGGGGCTCCGGGGGAAGCGGTTCGACGACATCCGGGTTTACTTTGATGCCCGGGTCCTCACCCCTCTCTGCTCGGCGACGGGCATCGACTACAAGGTGCAGTTCGACACCAAGCCCCTGAAGCTGGTCCGGTGGGAGAACTCCAAGCGGCTGCTCTACGGCTCCCTGGTCTGCCTCTCCAGGGACCACTTCGAGACATTCCTCTTTGCCACCGTGTCTCACCGGGACAGCCGGGACCTGCAGAAGGGCTTCGTGCACCTCTCCTTCAACAAGCACAGCCAGGCCCTGCTGGCCGACGTCGGCCCGGCCGACCCCTTCCTCATGGTGGAGACCACGGCCTACTTCGAAGCCTACCGGCACGTGCTCAAAGGGCTGCAGGAGCTCCAAGAGGAGGACGTCCCCTTCCAAGACTACATCGTGAGATGCGAGCCGCACGTCAAGGCGCCCGCTTACCTGGCCAGGGGCAGCGTCTATGACCTGGGGCCTCTGATGAAGGCAGCGCCTGCCGCTGACGGGGCAGTCGAGGGCCCAGGCGCTCCGGCCAGGAGCAGGATTGACATTCTGGACTCTGGCCAGTGGCCGGCTCTGGACCTCTTGGGCCTGGACGCGTCCCAGATGGAAGCCTTCCAGCTGGCCCTCACCAAGGAGCTGGCAATCGTCCAGGGACCTCCTGGAACAGGTGAGTCGGGGGGGGGGGTCCAGAGCACGGACCTCCTGATCGGCAAGCACCAGCGGGCACGTTGTGTGCATGTGTGTGTGTGTGGGGGGGTGTTCCTCCCTGCTGCTAGAAATGCCGGGTGGGAAGGGGATGTGGGGGGCACCTGCCCAGGGTTCCAGGAGGCCCAGAAGCAGAGGTCATCCTTTCCCGGGGCCAGAGCAAAGTTC